AGTATACGTACGGCGTTGAGTCGAACCTCCATGAACAGGAGACCCATTTGAAGGTCGGAGTTTCTGCCTGCTATTTTTTTGAAGGCCATATCAGTTTTTGCTGCTTTCAAGTATCCGCTGGTTTACCTGACGACCTTCAACTTTGCGAAAAATCTGCAAAATTGGCATGGCGAAGGTCACTACGTTTCTAACTTGATTGATGGTCACCAAGTGCGGTTTTTTTGCTCAATCGCTGGATTTTTTCTTCGTGGTCAATCTTTTGCTCATATTGCGGTGATAGATGGCTGAACTAGATTGTGCTGTAACTTTTTGAGTCGATAAAAAACAAGTAGAAAAAAACAAGAACAAGCTTCCTCGAACCCTGTGGGCTCAGCTTTCTCTGCATAATCGTAGTGCGTTTTTTAAGGAGTTTTGCTATGAGGGTCAGTGTGGTAGCCGACCAGATCAGTGTAAAGCGATATGGGGACCAACGGGCCGAGAAGGTGACAGAACTTGTTTCCAACAGAACACGAATGGGATCATCCAAGGCAATTGTGGATACGATGTTCACACTAGGCAGTTCAAGCGATGTCTTGCAGAGTGAGTGCAACATTTCCTCGTGTCAAATTGCTTCATTCTTGTGGAGCTCCGGCTCTGCAAGTCCTTGTTCCTTTCACTCTTTGGTTCAAAGTATTGTAAAACGGTAAAGCTTAATACGATGGTTTCTTTATGCTTCTTTTAGCGATATAATGTGTGGCAGACTTCAATGTGCAACTCAAGCCGAACGACCAATATTCGGTGATCCAACTACCGTCACTTCTGCATACACGTATGTACGAGTAGGTGGGTCTTAGCGTTATATGTTTAGCTGATGGAAACTGATTAGCGTTTCGTTCAAGGAACTGAGACTCATCAGTGCCATGTCATAAAGACAACCTATGTAGTTGGCCAGAAGAACGAACCCGATCCAGGCATGGTTCTTGACGGTACCGAGTGTGGAGATGACAAGGTTGGACAGTTGGAAGTTATGAGTTAGTTCTGCAGTGTTTTTTTAGAGACAAGGAATAGTTATTTAAGATTTGTGTGGACGCCAAGTGCAAGGAGAGAAGTGAAGTGTCCAAGACTGTCTCAAAATGCAATGACCAGTGCCATTACAGAGGTGTGTTCGTTGTTTTGGGCGTTTAACTCTGCACTTTCACTTTCCATTCATTTTTCGTGCTTTCATGGCCTCTTTCGCTGTAAAGGTATTGAAAAATAGATAATATTTAAGCAGAAACTTGGCCCGGGGTTAAGACTCGAGTTTGTCGGGTTGCCCAATTTTTTAGTGTGGTGCCTTTTGGAACCAGTGCTGTAAGACTTATATGTACCTTACGTGCATATGAATAAAGGAAACTCTTTCACATTTGTTCCTTTGCCTGAATCAGCGAAATTTCGCGCAGCTGTGGAAGGGAAATCTGTTTTGATTGATTGTATAGAGCACATTGGTACCTAGTGAAAGAACTCATGCCACGCTTAGCAAAAGCTTCGCAGGTTGATCTTGTCCCTATGTACATATCGTATCCCGGAGGACAGAAAGGTTAAGGGTGCTCTAGAAGGGGATTGCTGGCCGAGAACGCATGATGTCTTTTTTCGGATTTTCCTTTGTCTTTAGCGCTATTCAATGAATCGTATTTTTCAAGCCTCTATAGGTGAGGATGTAAAATATTTGTTGACTATTTTTAGGCGTGTGCAATAACGTTGGAAATTGTCATTGTGAGAACGGTTTCGGTGGAATCGCATGTGAAATTCCTGGCTTTGGAGGATCTGTGAACAGCAATCCATCGAACACTAGTAGAGGGTACGTTATTTTCCTAACTGTTTGATGTTCAGATTATTGCTGCACAACGGAATTCGAATTCAAGTTTCATCTATTATATTTTAAGGCTCACTCCGTCAACGATGTTGTTGTTCCTCTTTGCCATATTCTCTGTTGCGATGGTCATCGTCTGTTTCTTTTACTGGTTCAAGAAGAAGCGGAATCTCCCGAAGGAGTGAGTTTTGCACTGCTTCATTGATTCAGTACTTTCTGTTAGATGTTTTGTTTAAGGTTTTGGGAGTATGCGAGAAAAACCTTGAAGTTGCATGGCGTACTGGTTCCAGTACGAAAGGCTCCACCTCCGCCAGGTGGTAGAAGGCATGTAAGGTATGTTACGGGCACAATTATTGCACTTATGCTTTTCGACACAGTCTTTGTTCTAATCTCATAACAGTGCCTAGTACGTTTGATAACTCAA